ATTTCCTTTCAGAGACGATAGGTCAAGTGGTAAAATGAGGCAACCAGTTTGGCATTTCCAGTCACTCCTGTATAAACATATTTATTTTCCAGTCTAAAAAACGCTTAAAGACGAACAATGATCTTGTGGCGATATCTTTTTGTCATGAAGTACCCACTCAAAGCGTTTCTGAAGCTAGAGAAATGTCTGTAGCCTAGAATACAGTTGATTTTGCATCTCTATCACAAGGTGTTCCCCACTAATCCTTAAGGCCAGCCAAGGAGGGCTGACCGGGCCCACTGAAGTTCTCCTTGAATAGGATCTATTGTTCACAACTACGGCTGTGTAAGCCACAAACTCCACTGTTCTCAGGGTTGCTTGTGAAGCTAGACAGTCCAGGGCAGACGGTTCTTTTCAAACCGTTGAACTGTCCCACACCAAAACACGAACGGAAAGAAGGGGGATTAACACCAACTGTTGAACTGTTTCTAAACCGTTTGTATTTTGACCTTGCGCCTTACTTCAGCGCAAGATTAGTAGAAGAACGAAAGAGAAATCGGGTACTTTACGCTCTGTTATTTGTTTTAAAATATGCCTAAGAGTCCGGATATGAAGTACCATTTCATAAAAATTGTTCAGTTTAAGTGCAACTCACGTGACTTCAACTTAAAGGAGCAGTGTTTCTGCAAATGAGTTTGTAGCCCATTGACTTTGTACACGTTATCAAGCCGCAATTTTGGTAACTTAGCGATGCTTGATTATTGACAAAGTGATGGTCAACAAAGACCCTGATGCAAGATTTATTGAAAATGAATGACGTCATGATGACGTCATGACCATATTTTGTGTTGATTTTTGAATATTTCATTTTTCCCTGTAGGTTTTGTACACATTTTTGACTTGGCATGAAATCTGTAAACTTCAAAGCCCTTTAATCTCCTGAAGGACATGTCCTATCTGGTTGAATTTTTGAAGATAACTAGAAAGGAAATGTTACAGACAAAAGTAGACTTCCTGTGCTGATGACGCCATCAGGGAATTAATCATGTGACGTTAAATGTGCACTCTTTAGGGCTCTGTATCTCCTGAGGTAGATGTCCCATCTGGTTCAAATCTTGCAGATATCTTGAAAAGGGAGTGCTCTAGAGGAATATGTACCTGATGTGATGATGACATCATCAATGTGGAGTCAAATAACATTTATTTCAAGGACATTATTTCCTGAAGTACATGCCTATATTCTGTTGAAACCTTGGATCCAAATGGTCATATTGACAGATTTGCGCCATCGCGTTTGTGCAGTAGATAGATTGTTCAACTTAAGAAAGGGATGCGAAAAAGCCCTCTGTTCTGTTGGCAAACAGACAGATGACTTCTAGTCGTCGTCTTCTTCTGATGACCCAAATTCCCTTTGTTTTGTACACGTTTCTTCCACCACCTACTTCAGTCCCTTAGCAACTTTGGATCTTCATCAAACTTACATCAATGAAGGAAACTTATCCAAAGATGTGCACAGAACAATAATGGGAACGTCATCAAGTGATTTATTATTGATTTTTTAATATTTATTTCAGCCCTTGACTTTTTACACATATTCATGACACTACCGGTATTTTGGTGATTTTGTAATCAAAGACCCTGATACACAGATATGTCCAAATTTATGACGTCATGATGACGTCATCAATTGATTTTTTATGGATCTTCATTTCAACCCCATTGACTTTGTACATGTTTTCGAGGCATGATTTTGGGCACTTGGCGATATTCAATTGTCATCAAAGCTAAGGCAAAGACCCTGGTGCAAGAATTATATAAAATGGACGACGTCATGATGATGTCATCACCTTATTTTTTATTGGTTTTTGAATATTTTATTTTTTCCCCATTGATTTTGTATATGTTTTTCAGCAGGCGCACTTTGGGACACTGGTCAATAAAACTGATTTCATGTTTGTGCACACTCATACTCCACCACGTAAAGAGGGTCCCAGAACACGTGTGTAATCACGACATCATCAGTGGTCATGTGACATGAAATTAAAGGTGCAGTTTTTCTCCATAGGGATTGTGCATGTTTTTGCACTACACACTACTATCAAGCTTAATGAGTAGTCCTCAACTTCGACCACGAATTACTACCAGAATGAAGAGAAATCAGACTAAATTTTTCCTTCCATTCAATTCCAAATATACCCAAGAGTCAGAATATCAAATAATATTTCATAATTTTTCTTCAGTTTAGACACAAATCTCGTGACATTGACTTAAAAGAGCAGTGTTTCTGGAAACGAGTTTCCATCGACTTTGTAGACGTTTTTGCACAGCAATTCTGTTTACTTTGCGATGTTTGATTGTTGACAAAGTGATAACAAACAAAGACCCTGATGCAAGATTTACACAAAATGGATGACGTCATGATGATACAAAAAACACCAATTTTATGACGTCATGGTGATGTCACCTTCTGATTTTTTATTGACTTTTTAATATTTCATATTCCCAATAGGTTTTAAACATGTTTTTGTTCCACAGCCAGTCTTCGGCAATTTTCTTGATCTGATTGGCTGTGTATTGGGTGTGCACTCTTTAATTCCCCCCAGCTATAGAGGGTCTGAGAACATCATCATGACATCATACAGTGTCACCTGACATAACATTAAAGAAGCAAACTTCAAGGCCTAATACATGTATCTCCTGAAAGACATGTTTAATTTGGTTGAAAGCTTGCAGGTATCTAGATAGGGAAGTGCAATAGAAAAAATTGACCCTGTGTGATAATGACGTCATCATGGACCAGTCACGTGACATAAAACATGCACTTTTTCAATCAATGTATCTTGCAAAGTTTAAACTTGTAAACTTTAATTATTTGTATCTCCTAATGTTCAAAAGGGTTCGAATATTTGTTATCATGAGGTCACCAAAAACATTATTTGAGACTTTGGGAACTCTTTGAGTGGTGTTTGAGTAAGAAGTGAGAAATCCAAATGTGGTGCTGTCTCAATTGAAGGAATGCCCTTTTCTTAAGCAAAAGAAAATGTGAAAAAGCCCTTTGCTCTGTCCTTAAGACAGACAAAACTTTTAGTTTCTTCTTTTTATTCCTCTTTTGCCCCAAATCCCCTTTATTTTGTACAAGTTTCTTCCAACACCGACTTTAGTCCTTTTACAACTTCGGATCTTCATCAAACTTACATCAATGAAGGTCCCTAGTGTAAAGATGTGTCTAGAACAATGACGTCATGATGACCTCATCAAGTGATTTCTTACTGATTGTTTAATATTTATTTCAGCCCATTCATGTGTACTTGTGAAGACAAGCCGCAACCAAATAATTGACTATGGCTGCAATTGATACACAAGACATGGAAATTGGCTGCATTCGCTTTCTGTACGTGTGTGTGTCATTCTTAGGCGTGCTGGTCGAAATGGCAGTTGGCTGCAGTGTGCTGGGGGTCACACTGACCAATTACAGGGCTCCTCATTATTTATGCCTGAATAGCAGGAATGAAAAGCAAAAGTGGTTGGGTGCCAGTGCATGTGAGCTCGCTGTCGCAATGTGAATGCTTTCTGTTGAGGCTGCAAATGGGTGCGGACAGGCAGCGATCTTTGTCCGCATCCACGTGCCGCCTCAACACCAAGTGTTCACTGTACATCGGCGCGCTCACGTGGCTCGTCTTCGCAAGTACACATATGAACTGCATGACTCTTGGACACTTATCGGGAAATATTTGCACCTTTTTTGGGAAAATGGTATGGTTTGGGCCCATTTTTTTCTTGGTACTCAGAACAAAGGGATGTAAGCTACCATACATAGAAATCTTAAGAGAAATGGAACAGCATTTCTATGGGTTCACAACTAGAATAGAATCCCTGTTCATGCCATGTCAAACATCATGTAGAGCCTATGGTGAAAAAGGCTCATTTTCTGAAGGCTTCGTGGGAGTGGAGTGGACGTCGGACCCCACAGTTCTGGGGGTAGAAGTAGCTAGGCTGCAAGGGGCCTACGTGTACCTGTAAGGTAACAGTTTGTGTGACATTCCAACAGTGTTTTAGCAAGGATTTGAAAGGTGGTAGCGCAATTTTGTTACAGTCCAAAATTTGTGCACGAATTTGAAGCACGCAACACGAACATGCAGCGCGGAGTCCCTTACGGCTGGGATACAGGGCCTGCGTAAGGGACCTGAAAGCTCTGCCTATTTTAGATGCTCTCTGGTGGTCTCTAATGAATTTCTGACATTTTTTGATAAGAGTTTTTGCCTTTTCAAACAAAAAATAACAGCCTTTGGAAAAAAAATTAAATTGTAAAACTATGTGCAATTGTTGTTTTATATAGTGTGATTAAACAGCCCTGCAGCAAAGAAGGGAATAATGAGTAAGGGAACCTGCCTGCCCACATGGATGCGTTTGAACCAGTGTACACATACTTTACTGCAGCGTATTTTCTATTTGGGACTTGGTTGATGGGGTTAAAAATGGGAAAAGGCTGAATTTTAGCTCAGAATTTATTTTCAGGATCTAGATTACACAAGCATTGAATTAAGTAGTGCACGGCTTGATTTGCACTGCCAGGCCGTGCTTGAAAAAATGGGCCATGATTTCACAAAACTGGCCATGCAAAACACAGCTAACATGCTGCATACCAACCCTTTTATTTTAATGGACAAGCATGACAAGTCCCTTTTCTCTTATCCATTCGACAACTCACACACTAACCCTAGGCCCTAACGCTAGCCCAGTTATGAGCCAGGCATGGACACAGACCTACTGACATGACTGATACATGCGCATGCCTGATCACACCATCCATGCAGTGATGCACATATCATCATGTCATCACACCGCATGGTCACACGTGATGGGAAAGTCACATACGTTACAAAATACCTCTGACAGACTGATTTCTGGGGAGTCAATATTTCTTAAAATAGGCGAAAATTTGATTTTCCTCCTCCCCATTCCAAAACTTGTCATAACAAATTAAAATACCACACACATCCAACAAAAAACTGACAAAATACCTCTTGTGATACTGCTACTGCGGAGGCCATGTTCGCTGAGAAATCCAATATGGCGGCTAGTCACGTGATACCGGCGAAATTTTACGGCAAGCGAGCCCGCACGCGCGGGTACGGGTACGCACGCACGCACGCGTGACATCGATACTCGATCCTGCAATGCACATAAAAGATTATTTTACGAATATGGTAATAGTTATGAGTCAAAACCTCCTGTGAAATTCTAGTAGAGCCCACGAGTCTCATGGAGTATACATTTTTAAAACTGAAGGTTTTTTTTCAAGTTCGTTTCACAAGGCACTTTTTTAAATTCGTTTTTTTGACCTATTTTTGGAAACATTGTTTTTTAATTGTTAGTTTGGGGAAAATCGCTTTTACGAGAACTATTTTTTTCAAACTCAGAAAACCATATCTCATAAAAACGAACTTTGAAAAATATACTTCACCTTATAAAAGTGCATATACTTCAGATCATGGCACTTGTGGGTATTTCGTAAACTTCTGGAAATTTGCTCCGTCGAGCAAATCAGTTGCTCCTTCCTCCATGCTGGTACAAACAATCAGCGGAATCACTACATGTTTTGTTTTAAATTTACTTTACTTAACACGTACAATTAGTTAATATTTTTTTAAATTTTATTTTAAAAAGTGCTAGCCGGGTTTTCGGACCAGTAGGGCTGGAAGAACTCCGAGTCAGCTTCACCGGCGGCGGAACGATCGGGATGGGGGGGCAGTTGTTAGACCATCAGGCATCAGCTATTAAGAACTCAATCTATCGAGCCCAACCTAATTATAGGGCCTTCAAAATGGGGAGGGGGGGTCAGGTCCCCCGGTCAAAAAGTGAGGCTACTGACGAATGTTGATCAACGTGTGGTAATTTATTTTTTTCAACGAATATCATCGATTTTATTTTACGGCAATTTATTTCAAATCAGTGTTTTTTTATTAGACTTTAGATCAATAAAAGATTTATGGTGAAGTCGTTTTCGGTAACGCAGAGGAAAAGGTGAAACATTCTATCGGCTCCTGTTTGATTTGTGCATTAAGAGAGCATTGTTTTCTCATAAACCGGCAGGATTTCTCAATTGATTACCCTATCCCGCTCTCCTATACCGGCTACGTGAATACATGTTCGTACATGTACATGTACATGTACGTTCTGAGGACGTCTGTAAGACGTCTGGAGACTAGGTACGAGACGGAACCAGTCTACTGAAGGCTTGGGCAGTTGAAAATCTGGAAACCACGGATAACCTTTTGACTGCGCCCCGGCATGTGCGTTTTGGAGGAAGTGGAAGAAAAAAAGGAAGCAGCGGGAGGGGGGGACAAGAGGAAAAGAGTGAAAATCACCAATTGGCTTGAAAATATCTCAGATATTTACTTCTTGCTGCCGAGTGCTTAGTGCCCACCCACCCAGCTTTGCCGCCTCCCGATGCCTACTGAGGCCTACAATGTTCTCGGCTCGCTCTCATGCATAGGCCTGTGACGCGGTATAGTTTTACAATGAAGCCTGATAGGGTAAATGAATCTGGAAAGTGCTCTTATCCCTTTCTAGGAATATTCGTTCAATTAAAAGACAAAATGGCGATTGCTTAAACGACTGTGGCCACAGTTACATTCACTGTTTAGGGCAATTAGCATGCGGATGCCCGATTTCATGGCGCTGATAAGCTTAACAAAGGCTCTGCCTTTTTCAAGAAGAGCAGTAAGCACGGCAAAATGCATGCTTACCTTACAGGAATAATTTGCTTAATGAAGTTTCAATGTGGGAATCTCTATGTGCGCCCAGCTGTGAACCAGGCCAACTGAAGCACCGCTATTCTCTGCTGAAAAGCTCTATGAAATCGTTGCAGAAGCGAGGATGCCGACGTTTTTGTGCATTCGACTAAAGGTCTAAAGGTCGTTCTCGTAAGATTCAAACAAACTGGCAGCAGGACCCATTTAAAAGTGAGATTCATATAGTTCCGTTGAATCTCTAGAGAAGGCATTTCCATGATCTAAAAATGAGCGGAAATGACAAAGTGGCCTTTGAACACATGTACGTATACATGTACATCTGTTTTGTGATTGACTATCTGTGTAGACATAAGCGCAAACTTGCTGTGGAACTGCGTTATTACGTTAGGGTTGCGCATGTACCCAGTACGAAGCTCTGAAAGTGCCATCCTGCTTGTTGAGATCCTCACATATTTCATCTCAGGATGATGACATATTACGGGCAATATGGAGACACCATGAGATGTTTTATCGCAGGATGGAGACATCCCGTGATAACATTTATCATGGGATGACGACATTCTGAAAGTAATATGATGACATTATTTGTCAATGGGTGCCATGATAAACCACCTTGAAAACAGCTGGCCTGATATGGTAGTGTTTTCAAAGAATTGTCCTGTTGCCATACACGATATTATTTAGATGATGTCTCACCACCTGTTACAAGTTGTCAAGTAGACATCACACTTGGTGAATGTCTCTGGATGATGATACCCTGAGCTAATGATTATTGTCATTATCTGAGGATGTCATCATCCAACTTTTATGATATTGTCATCCCGTGATAAATTATCTCAGGATGTCGACATCTTGCTTCTTATGTCGTCATCCCGAGAAAAACATTTCAGAATCTCAACAAGTTGGATGGCACTTTCAGAGTTCCGTACAAATCGCCAAACGGGGCCATGATCCCGTTCTTTACATTTCATTTCAAAGCACTTTTTCGTGTGCACAAATTTCTAGCTTATGGTGGCGACATAGTAGAGAAAACACACCCGTGTTGAAAATGAAGCGTTCCATTTCAGCGACCAGCATAGTGTACATGTACATGTACAGTACAGTGTGTATGTACACGTGCTGCGCGCTCTGAGGTTACCGGACCAAAAACACACATATCCACACACGTGTGCGTACCGATCTCTTTACCCTTATTCACATTATGCACGTCCTGATGCACGAACTAAACTGCAGGTGCCAGGATAGGATGAGGTCATGTTTGCCGAAGCGTCTCTGTACGTAAAAACGTGTACAGAGTAAAATCTGAGCGGACGTGTTTTGTAATGGCGACACATTCATGCTATAGTAAACGCATCCTGGTAATCCGCTTCATCGAGTGCCGTACTTCTACTCCAAGAAATAAGTTCGTCTGTAATAGCTGAAGTGGTAATATGTTTTCAGGGCAAGATGCCGGTCCTCCGGGCCAGTGGGAAACCAAGCAAATTCTAAAGTGGATGCAGGGAGACGACGAATGCAGGGAGGAAATCAAAAATCGGATCATGAATGTCATACGAACGAACGATTTGGACGGGCACACGTTGAAGCAACTGGCCGCCGAAAAAGATGAAATACAAGATCTTTTTCCCGCGCTCAAAGATAGACTTGCCTTTAAGTCATTACTACGGAAACTCTTCAAGGTATGTCAAGATGATCAAACCATGGGGACTCGAGGCAAACAAACCTGTCATTCCTTGATTTCAATACCTTCTTTACAGTAACTAGTTTTACTGAGGTATGGCTTCATGTTATGTTAACCCACGGGTTATTAATGGTGTACATACCCCAGGTAGATCTCGGCTGAAATGTTTGTCCCCTGGGCCGCTCAAGTTGTGACACGTTATTAGGCCTACGCGTGTAAATGTGGACAGCAATTGGACACTTTGGTCTTGAATTGTAGGCCTGATTATCAACTAATAAACTAATCATCTGAATCTTAAGTCGATTTGACTCCTTTAGTCATTTTTAGCTGTTTCAGGTTTGGGGCACTAGTTGCGCTCGAACTGAACAATGAATGATTTGGACTTTCCAGTTGGCCATTTCATTTATCATCATGGAGGGAACATTAACATGCAAATAACTTTACGAAATTTCAATGACCATACATGTGTACGCTGCGAGAATCGCAGCCAACGGTGAAATGTAAGTAGCTATGAATTAAAAAATGGCAAACTATATAGGGTTGTTCGAGTGTAACTGAATTGCACACGTGCGTTGTTAAAAAATACCTCTGGTCGCACTGTGATACTTCGTTTCTGAACTTGCCTCATGATGTCAACTTTGGGAATCACTGAGTTGTTTTATTTCTTTTGTTATCAACAGTCAAACAGCTACGACAGTGAGGACCTCGTAAACGTGCATGATATAACGTCACCTCCTTTTTTTTTAAAGGAAACAGTTTCATGTCCGGACATTACTGGTCACTGCACTAACCCTATGAGACTGATCTGAAAAAAAATGCTTTCTTTTTAGTAGTAAATGTTTCAATATTGTCCGTGCTAAATTTGACTTTGTAGGACATGTCATCACTTTCTAATGGCTAATAGGTTTTAGTGTAAGGGAAAAGTTAGTGAAGTATGTATAAACGTCTTACCTTTTTATTGCAATACGACGTTTATTTCCGTATTGGTGAAGATCAGGAAAGTAAACAATAGCAGTATAAATATATAAATCGAGAGATAATTACAGAGTAACAAAAACAAGAAATACACAAATAAAGGGACAACCAATATCGATATGGGCTTTCAGAAGCCGGGACGCTTGTATTGAAAAGCCGTGGACAAAACGAACTTTACACAGAGACAACAAACAACAAAAGATTGACTTCGGGGAATGAGTTATGAACTGGACTGATACATGCAATATTGATTGTTAAAAGATAGATCCATTTACGAGCATAATCACATTTTGGACTTAACTGTACCAGATATTTTCAACGTAACCGCTAAATTTCAGCTAAAAGGAAAGCGGTAATCAGTGCAGTGATTGAAGGTGGTTAACCAGTATTATACTGCAACCTTCCCATGCGATGGTTGTCAAATATTCACGTTCAAACCACTGAAGGAAAATTTTTATTTACTCTGCAGGGTGAGGCCTGTTTTGACACATGCATGCAAAAATAGTGATTTTTGGTCCAAAGCTCTTTTTGCGGAGGGAAGGTTGTAACATTTTGAGACGATATTTTAAAGACCTAAAAATAACTGACGACTTCTGGACGCTTTCAAATGTAGGCTTAGAGGGAGAAAGGCATGAAGATTTCAGATTTTTCGGCATATTTTTGCATTTCAGGGTTTAGCTATTACAAGTAGGCCTAACCCACAATGGTGAGCGCGTCAGCATCTGTGACACGATTATTCCCTTCACAAAAAAGTTCCTAATTCCGTTTTCCTTTCTGAAAAATAATGTTATATTCAAGTATACTCAGATGTTATGCGATACATGTAATCAAGGAGTGAGATGTCGGAAATCATCGACAATCAGTCAAGTATTAAATGACACCTTGTGTTTGAAATTAAAACCGTTCGTCTTCCATACCTTTGATGGTGTTTATGTGAATACCAAGTGGTATTTTCCTCAAGCTAAAGTGTTTCTGCTGCTATTATGAACCATTTAGTTAAAGAACTCTCGTAACCAATGCTAGAACAAGATTATTCAGGTAGAAACACTTTGGAAGTATTTTATATATATGAAAAAGACCGACACTTGACTTTTCCTTGCCGTAAAAGCATTTATGTGCTTGTGTGCATAGCTCATGGATTACCTGGATTCATTTCTAAAAATTTTTCATGAACTTTTATATATACTCATACTAACTTATACCTTATATAACTTATACTAACCTTGTCGAAATCGGGACGATTCACCTGAGTGGACCCGGACGGGATCAAACATTAGCCGTCAAGGCGTACCTTCTTGGCCGCAGGGTACACCTCGGGGTTCCATTTCCTGAACGACTAGAGAGCATCCCAACCCTGATCTCGACTAAGTGCAATTAGAGGGACCAACATGTAATAGTCATGTTTAGTTCTAATTGTGCTGTGGAATGGGTTGCTTAAACATCGGGTTGGACCTGGCTCCAAAAGGCGGCCTGCAGTATACAAAAGTATAACGGGGAATGTCCGGGATCCAGATACGTTGGAACAAGTTGTAAATAAAGTCACTACATGCAGTCTGTCCTCGATTCCTGCATTCGTTTGCTCAGGGCCGATATAAATGGTGACTTGTTCTGATTGTTCAGTAATTTGTCAAAATTGCAATGCCCAATATGAAATAGTCAAGCGTGTGTTTTAGACCAAGATCTTGATAGACGGCTAAGTCAGATGTTGGAATTGCATGCAGTCCAGTTGAAAGACCGACAAAAGAAATGATGGCCATCCGAGCAGAAGCATGCACCACCCCCAATCGGTTGAAAAGAGCCATATTGGTGGGGAGTGCTCAGTTTGTTGGTACATGTGAATCGCTACCACAACGCGTGCATTTCACAGTCGTTCGTGAACTGGCGAAGTACCGTTCCCACCAAGGGTGCAGTGTCCCAATTCAAGGAAAATTCTCCGCCAGGCGTAGGCGCACAAAAAGTACCCCACAGAGATTGCTTCGAAAAGAGGGGTCTGTTTGGGCCACGAAATGGTGAGATTGTGTCAG